GGGGAGGGGAGGGGAGGGGAGGGAGAAGTCAAGGTCAGGAACTCTAAGGAAGGCTGAAGAGCTACTCAGAGCTAAGGCTGTGGGGCCCTGGGCCAGATTGTGCTTTTTCTTTCTCTCTTTCTTGCAGTGTTGGGGGTTGAACTCAGGGTCTGACACATGCCAGGCAAACACTCTACCACAGAGTCACACCCCCACCTCCTGGACAGGATCCTGCATCAGAAAAAGAGGGGCTGGGGCTGGGGCTCAGTGGTAGAGTACTTGCCTAGCATGTGTGAGGCACTGGGTTTGATTCTCAGCACCACATATAAATAAATAAAGGTCCAACAACAACTAATAAAGTATTTTTTAAAAATGCTATCAAGAACATTATGCTGCTGATTTTTTAACAAGGACACTACATGAGCTCAGCATTCTACCACCTCTTTTCTCGGCACATGACCATTTCCTTTGTCAAGTAACAGTATGTCTTAGGAGATACACAATGAAGTACTGAGGGATAAAGGATCATAATTTCTACAACTAATTCACAAATGGCTAAGCAAAAAATAAAAATTATTCACACATACAAAACACCTGAAGATAATACCTGAATTCAGACCAAAGATACAGGTGTTCATTATACTTCCCTGGAAATTCTTCCTTAGGTTTAAAATATTTTCATACTAAAGTTGAAATAAGTATAGGTGATCGGCATGTACCTGTAGTTTCAGTTGCTCTGGAGGCTGAAGCCAGACGATCACTTGAGCCCAGGATTTTAAGACCAACCTGGATGTGGGGTGTGGTGGCTCATGCCTTTATTCCTAGAGACTTGGGAGGCTGAGGCAGGAGGATTATAAATTTGAGGCCAACCTCAGACACCTTAGGGAGACCTTCAGCAACTTAGTGAGACGCTGTTTCAAAATAACAATAAAATAAAAAAGGGCTAGGGATCAGCTCAGTAGTAGTGTGCTCACAGTGCATAACTGAGGCTCTGCATTCAATCCCCAGTGCCACAAAAGAAAAAAAAAAAAAAAAGCCTTATTTTATTTTAATTACAGTACTGGGGATTGAACCCAGAGCCTCAGACACGATAGCCACTTTCACTACCACTGAGCTACATCCCCAGCCCTTTTTTATTTGAGACAGGTTCTCACTAAATTGCCCAGGCTAGCCTTAAACTTGCAATCATCCTGACTCAGCCTCCTGAGTACCTGGAATTACAAGCATGTATCACTGCACCTGGCAGAAATGTCTGTCGATAGCAGACTGGTTAAAATGGAGATTAACATTTTGTGATCCATTTTGGCAGCTTGATAAAGACCATGTGGACCCTATGTTTGATCCTACAGAACAATGTTTTAATATCAGTAAAAATGGCAGAATGGTGGGTAAACCAGATGGGGTGGCTCACTCCTGTAATCTGAGTGAGAAGAATCACAAATTCAAGCCAGCCTGGCAATTTAGCAATTCCCTGTCTCAAAACAAAATAAAAAGTGCTGAGGGTGTGGGTCAGGGGTAGAGTGCCCCTGGATTCAATCCCCAGTAGTAGGGAGGAAGATGTCATAAGGATATCAACTAAAATGACATACAGCTATCAAAATATTGCAAGGCAAGGTGGGTACAATGGCTCATGCCTATAATCCTAGCAGCTCAGGAGGCTGAGGCAGGAGGATCCCAAGTTCAAGGCCAGCCTCAGCAACTTAGCAAGACTCTAAGCAACTTAGTGAGACCCCTGTCTCAAAATAACAAAAAGGGCTGGGGATGTGGCTCGGTGTTTAAGTGCTCTTGATTCAACTCCTCAGATTCAACCCTTCAGTTATTCCCCCCACTAAAATAAATAAATTTAAAATAAATATAAAAAATATATATATATATATATATATGAACTTTATAATTGATAAAGCTCCTTCTTCACTAAATAACATGATCTAGTCACAGGTTTAAGAAAATATTGAGCAAAATGTTCTAAGATACATACTATAATGTGATAGGAAAACACATGTGCATTCTACTGGTGATGTTCCTAATATTGCTCATTTACTGGGTAACACTCCTAATTGAGGAAGATGATACACGTTTTCTCTGGAGGTTGGTGAAATGAAAATAATTTTTTGTTCCCAGGCAAGTTCATATTCTTTTTGAAACAGAGCATAGTCCCCTCGGTGACTCCGGAACACCAAGTATAGAACTCTCAGAGGGACAATTGATAACACTGTACAATGGAATTTTTCAAAAGCTATTAAAAAAACAAAGAAGCTCTTTATATTCTGATTTAGTACAACTTTCAAGCTGTGTTAAGTGAAAATGAGCAAGAGGCCAAACAGTGTGTAGATTACAATAACATTTGCGTTTAAAAAACGAAAAATACAGTCATATTTGCTTTTGTTTGCATAAGTCTCGGGAAGGCTTGTGGCAGTGTCACAGGCCTGTAATCCCAGTGATTTGGAAGTCTGAAGAAGGTGGATCACAGGATAGAGGCCAACCTTGGCAATCTAGAGAGACCCCATCTCAAAAATAAAAAGGACTGGGGATATAGCTCAGCAAAACAAAAGAACCCCTGGGTTCAATTCCCAGTACAAAAAAAAAAAAAGTATCTTTAGATACCCCAAAATTGATCATTTATCTGCAGGAGAGGAATTGAATGGGTGAGGAAGAGTGGCTTTTCAAGGCTACCACCTTTTGAGTTCATTTTTTAACTTATTGTGCTGGGGATGGAACCCAGGGCCTCCCACGTGCCAGGTACGTGCTCTGTGCCAGGTACGTGCTCTACAGCTGAACCACAACCCACCCCACACTCTTCTTTTTCTTTGTTTGGTACTGAGAATTTAACATAGGGGTGCTTTACCACTGAGCTACATCCCCACCGCTTTTTATTTTTTATTGAGAAAGGTCTGGCTCAACTGCCCACGCTGGCCTCTAATTTTAAATCCTCCTGCCTCAGAATTCCTGTGTAGCTGGCTCCCTACCCCTGATTTTTCTCCCCCCCACCACCAGTACTGGGGATTGAACCCAGGCTATCCCCATTCTTAACATGGAGGTTTGGAGTTTGGTGGGGTGCTCACACTTATAATCCCAGGGCCTCCAGAGACGAGGCAGGATGGTCTGAAGTTCCAGACTCATCAATTTAGTGAGACACTGTCTCAAAAAGTAAAATCGGCTGGGATGTAGCTTAATGGTTAAGAATCCTTGGGGGGTTAAGAATCCTTGTGGCTCAGTGGTAGAGCACTTTCCTCACACATGCGAGGCCCTGGGTTCGATTCTCAGCACCACATATAAACAAATAAAATAAAGGTATTGTGTCCATCTACAACTAAAAATATGTTTTAAAAAAAATGGGTTGGGGATATCGCTTAGTTGGTAGAGCATTTGCCTTTCATGTACTAGGCCCTGGGTTCAATTCCCAGCACCACAGGAAAAAAAAAAAAAAAATCCTTGGGTTCTATCCCCAGTATAAAAAAAAAAGAAAGAAAGAAAGAAAAAATAGACTGTGTACTGGGAAAAAAAAGAAAAAAAAAATGTGCCTTCTCATCTGCTGCCTGATGACGCTTTTGCACTTTGTCCCAAGTGAGAAGTCACCCAGCCCCCTGCAGACCACAGGTTCCGGGCCAAGACTTCCTCCATATCCTGTGTGTGGAGATCAATTGCCAACAGCAGTGAATGAGGGTCCTGGGCAGGTCAATGAACTTCTCTTGACTCTCCACAGACAGACAACTGCATAAGACCCTGAGTCATCTCACATAATAGTCGCTAAGTAGAACCTCAACTACAATTCCATGGTCACTGTGACTTAGGAATAAGTGAAATAAAACAGGGAGGGGCTGGGGCTGCGTCTGTAGCTCAGTGGTAGTGTAGGTCCTTAGCAAGTGGGAAGCCCTGGATAATATATACATATGTGTGTGTGTGTGTGTGTGTACACACACACAATACTGGAGACTGAGGGCTGGGGGTATGATATATATATATATATATACTATTATATATAAACTATTATAGATAGATAGATAGATATAGATAGACACAATACCTTTAATTAATTTATTTATCTTTACGTGGTGCTGAGGATCGAACCCAGTGCCTCACACATGCTGGGCAAGCACTCTACCACAGAGCCACAACTCTGACCCAATTTTTTTTTTTCTGACCCAATTTTTAACTATAAAAGTAGAATAGGAGACCAGGCACAGTGGTACATGCCTGTCATCCCAGAGGCTAGGGAGGCCTAGGCAGGAGGATGGCAAGTTCAAAACCAGTCTCAGCTATTTAGCAAAGCCCTAAGCAACTTAGTGAAACCCTGACTCAAAGGGCTGGGGATGTGGCTCAGTGGTTAAGCACCCCTGGGTTCCATCCCTGGTACCAAATAAATATATAAATAAAAAATAAAAATAAAAATAGAACAGGAAAGAAAAAGCCTGTACACCATGTAGAGTAAGGGCAAGTTTGGGTTAATTGTTTCTTGAAATTTTTGCTTCATCAATACTAGAGATTGAGGGCTGGGGTGTCATCAGCAGTGAATTCCTGCACCTTACCCAGCATGCTCCAGGCTCTAAGTTCCATCCCCAGCATGGGGGAAGAAAACAAGAAAGGACAATGATGTAAAAACAGCATTTGGTAAAACTAAAGTATAACACAGTAATATTCACTCATCTTGACTTTAGATAGGTGATTTTTAACCTATGTATACACCTGTATATCCATATCCCGATGAAGACAGGAAATGTGGGTAAAGCATTTGCCTTGCATGTGTGAGGCATCGGGCCCAATTCTCAGCACTGCACAGAAACAAATAAAAATAAAGGTCCGGGCTGGGGATGTGGCTCAAGTGGTAGCGCGCCCGTCTGGCATGCGTGTGGCTCGGGTTCGATCCTCAGCACCACATACAAACAAAGATGTTGTGTCTGCCGAAAACTAAGAAATAAAATATTAAAATTCTCAAAAAATAAAATAAAATAAATTTTAAAAAATAAAAATAAAAATAAAGGTCCATCAACAACTAAAAATAAAAAATAAAAGACAGGAAATGTATAGTTATCAGTTTCCTTTCTGCCCACCTTCCCTCATTCTGCCTCCTATAACTAAAGGTTCTTATGCTTGTTCTTGAATTTTATACAAATCTACATAGGTTCTTTTTTAATATTTATTTTTAGTTTTAGGTGGACACAATATCTTTATTTTTACGTGGTGCTGAGAATCGAACCCAGTGACTCATGCATGCTAGGCAAGCACGCTACCACTTGAGCCACATCCCCAGCCCTACAGTAGGTTCTTTTTTGCGCATAATTGCTATCTTTCTTTTTTGGTTTTAAATGGACACAATACCTTTATTTTATTTATTTATTTATTAGTGATGCTGAGGATCGAACCTAGTGCCTCACACAGCTAAGCAAGTGCTCTACCACTGAGCCACAACCCCAGCCTCCTAGTTCCTTTTTCTCAAAGTGACATCTGGGAGTTTTATCTAAACTGTTGTATCACTACTCAGTTCTCTTTCATTGTTGTATAGTATTCCACTGTAGGACCACAGCACAATGTAAACAACCTATCTGTTGCAATAGAGTTCTTTCCATTTTGACAGGATCACTATTACTAAAGCTGCTCTGAATCTTCTTGTGTTTGTGGTTTGTTGTCATATGCAGTAATTTCTATTTAGTTCAAATGTATCTCTTACTCAAGTCCAGTCTCTCAAAGTGTGGTGCATCAGCGTTACAGGAAAACTGGTTAGAAATGCAGATTCTCAGGTCCCATTTCGGACTTGCTGAGTTAGGGACTCTGGGGCTGGGATCTGGTCATCTGTTTTAAGGGCAACTCAGTGTGCGAGACTGGCATGTACCCTAAAGCTTCAGGCAAGCGCTCTACCACGGAACCACTTCCCCAGCCACATATGCTAAGCTTTTAGCTGATCTAAGTCAAGGTCAGAAATGATGGAGGCTGACTTAGAACACACTCCACAGCCCGGCACCAAGTAAGTACTCAATGAATGTCAACTGTCCAATCTGAGGATTGGAAATTCGAAGAGAACTGTTTTGAGCGGCTCCTCCAACAAAGGCCAAAGACCTCCCTCGGGTGGGCGCCTCCCCCACTCACCTCCCCTTGGGCAGGCGGGCCCCGTCTCCGCAGCCCCTCCACCTCCTGCCTGAGGTTGTCCCTCTCCATCCTCAGCTCCTCCGCGGCCAGGCTGCCCTTATCCACCAGCGCCTCCAGCATCTCTAGCACGCGGACAATCTTGAACTGCAGCTGGGTCACCCGAGGGTCGCTGCCCAAGGCCATCAGCTCGCGGCCCACCACGTAGGAGATGTCGTACACGTCCTCGGTGGTCAGCTGGAAGGGGCTCTTGCCCAGGGCGCCCTCGGGCCCGGCTTCATCCACCTCTCCGTCCCCTTCCTCCTCCTCTCGCACCGGGGGCTCCTCCATGACCTCGAGTCCCCCGAGGCCACCACCGGAGTCGCTTGCTCGGAGTTTCCAAGGTTCAACTTCCTCCAGGCACCGAAAACTTTCCGCCGGGCGGAGACCCCGCCTGCCCAATCAGCACGGCCGAGGGGTGGACCCGGGAAGAGCGCGGGGACTGTCCGGCGCGGACGCGGGTGCCCGGTGCTGGAGCGCGGCTGCAGGAGGTGGCCTGGGGCCGAAGAGGACAGCGAGAAGGGAAGGCGGCGGCCGAGAGGAACCGGGAGGCCGAAGCGGCGGCGACCTTGGCCAGCCCTGAGCGCCGCGGGGCCGGGGGGCGTGGCCGCGGGCCGCCGTTTCCAAGGAGACGGGGGCGGGGCGCGGGCGGCAGCGCTCACTCTTTCCGCCCGAGAACTCAGTCTTTCCAGCCCTGTGACCTGCGTGGTGCGGGGGAGGCCGGGTCACATCCGAGGGTACTCACCCGAAACCTGTAGCAGAACGGAACACAGCTGCGCCCCGGGTCCCCAGGCTGGCGTTCTGCACAGCCCCCAGGCCAGTTGTCGCCAAGACCTCGGGGTGTCTGGACTTTGCTCTGATCTGGAACAAAATGCCTGCCCTGCTCACTTTGCAGATCCCTTGGCTCCTCCGCTTTACCAGCATCGCAACCCTGGCCAGTTACTTAGACCTTTGAACCTCGACTTCCTTCAGTCTCTGCACAATGGGGGCAATAATAGGACCTAGTGGTAGGGCAGCTGTGAGGAATATGAGGTGATGCGTGGAAGAAAGCAAGCAGTTAAATTAAGCATTCCGATAAATGTTAGCTGCGGCCACTCACAGTGTTGCACTGCTTGTAATCTCATCCTCAGGAGGCTGAGACAGGAGGATTGCAAATTCAAGGCCAGCCTCAGCAAGTTAGC